TTTAATTCAATTTAGAAAAGATTTCAATGTCATTATTTTTACTGAAAAGTTCTATCCTAATAATAATGAAGACGTTAACAATAGACGAACAAGAAAACGGTAACAAGAAATTTTGCACAGCGTATTAAAATAGACGAATTAAAAAGGAAATTGATTTGAACAAAAACGAAGTCTGACGAGAACATGAAACCTATTCTTAGACGGGTATTGTTTATAACTTTTGCATTGTGCCAATTTTGAACTATGCTTTCATTAATGGAAAGAAATTAAGCGTGTGACTGAGAGATGAAAATTTCACTTCTTAAAAGAAGAGAAATCCCAAAAAAACCAAGAATGACCTGGCTGTTGGAAATTAGACCTGACACTACACCTTATACTGTTGTTAAGAGTTATGCATGTAAGTAGACTTCAATACTTTATCCAGAATATGAGATAAAGAAAACGAAAGCCTCGCAAAATATGTCATTTATAAAAATGATCCAGAATAAAATCAGCTGCATGCATACGTTTTGTCAATATGACTGTTAAAAATTTAAGATTCATTTCTGGCACTTATATTGATAAACAAATAAGGTATTGCTTGTATATTGTAATTTAATGTGTGTGTGCGTGTTTGTGTGTGTGTGTGTGTGTGTGTGTGTGTGAGAGAGAGAGATTTAACTTTGCTTTTACAATTTTTCAGTCATATCGCTAAGATGTCAGCAATATTGTGGCAGTTTATAGTGATGTCCAACACCTGTGAATCATGCCGCATGAAGCAGACCGACCAGTCTTTACACTAACTCTCAATGCTGAGCGCCAAGTTTGTTAGCTGCTAGTAGGGGTGGAACGATAGACCTGTGTAACGTATCGATACGATTTACAACCTGCGATAGGATACACATCGATACACTTGATGGTCTTTTCGTCTTTGAAAGGTAGGTGGTGCCCCATTATGCATGTTGACGATATGTTTGTATTTTTAGTATGTAGATTACAGATAGTGATATAGTTATCATATATTTATATGTAATTTTCTTTTATCGATTACGAGAAATCAAAATACTTTTAAACAGACTTCCCGTTGGTTGTCAGTGAGTTTTACCCGTCATTTTAGACCATTTAATGGTGGCTCCATATAACTTACGTTAGCCACCGGGCCCATTGTTTTGCACTGCAGGAATGCTTTGAAAATATCTTATTACCAACTTCATGTCTAACTTGAACTTGGAAGACATCCCAATGTCATCTTCAAAACAGGACAAATAAAACAGTTTCCACGTGCACAGAAAATCTCATCTAGAACAAATCTGGGCGTGAGAATGAGGTTGAATACAAACAATATCTATCATATTGTACTTTATTTAGATGCAAGACTGCTGTGGTCACAGTTACTGGTATTTGTTAGTGAAGAAGGAAAACGATTGACAACACACAGTTCTATTCTGTTTTTTGGGGGAAAAAACTTTTTACACTTCAGCTGATTGAAATCTGCACCATTGCCTATTTTGTGATAATTCTATTTATTCCACTCAGCACCTTCATTCATTGGTTAAAATATATGCTTATAACGAGAAATTGAAAATTTGTTCCCCATGTGCAATTTATGGAGAGATGCTCCAAGGATTTTATCTCAGATTATGTTGATAGTGAAGATAAATTTGCAGGTATCGTATCGATGCTAACGGTTGCTGTATGCAGTGGACTTTGTGCACCTGTCTATTACGGACACATATCTAACGCGGTTAAATTTAATAGAATGTAGATTTTGGGCATATTCTATAATATGTACAAATGTCAAATTGCTGGTTTACTTCGCATGAGCTAGTCATTGTACACAGACCACGCACTCAGTTTGATCATTTGCTTAAATAAATAAGGTTTGGTGATTTTTCATCGGTTTTAACATTTTATCTACACCTTATTTTAGTACGATTAAAAATAGTACAATTGTTGGGCTGCACTAGCGAATGAAGATTTTAATGAAAAAATAATGCGCATTATTTACTGCGCTAGTGAACGAATATTGAGTTTTGTAAAATGAGAACATCAAGTCTTACTGCGCCAGTTAATACAGATTTGATAAATTAACACCCCATAGTCTTTTTAACGCCTGTAAATATCGATAATTTTTATTTTAGTTTTTGTTGTACCTACTTTACGAGTCGGTTGGTGTGTTGCACTCGTGAGCTAGAGATTTTGGATATGTTATCTCAATGTGAATTTGTTTGAAAATGTTATGCTACGTCCATCATGCCACATACTTACTACTTACGCGTGGACTAGCAGTCTATTGCTGGTGTTCCACTTTCAAATAATGACTAATGTGAGCAGAATGATTTAGATTTTTAATGTAGCCTTAACAATGTTTCAGTCATATCGTTACGATGTCTGAAGGGTTGTAGTTTATAGCGATGTCTAGCACTGGGCATCGAGCCGCAAACATGTAGCATCATGTCCCACCTAGTCAAATTATCCTGACACCAGGCTGACCAGTCTTAATACTAACATCTTAAATCTGAGTGCCTAGCAAGGCAGCTATTAGTACCACTTCTATGTCTTTGGTATCATTCGTCTTGGGTTTTGAACCCACGATCTCCTGCATCCGTTCAACAGAGACAGATAAAGATTTACCATCGCAATTGAGTTAAAATGTTTATTTAACCACAGGAGAGGTCAGGATTTCTTTTTTTGCGGAAAACAATCAGTACGTATTTTTGATGGTTCTGATGAGACATCCATGTGAGGTTTATAGGGAGTGATGCGCTATTAGTAATAATGACGATAAGTCATTCATGCGGACATTATTTCGAATCGAAAGTATACCACATACATTAAAAATAACATGTCTTTTAAAATTATGATACAAAGCAATTCGATATACCAGTACTGTCGGTATATAAAATAGTGATCCGCCCATAGCACATCAATAAGTATTTGTGTAAACATGGTTTCCACGGGAGGTTATTGCGTCTATACTTTCTGGATCAGTGATCGATTTCCACTTATTCGTTAATACTGACATAGGAAAAGAAACGAGGTAAAAATAGCAATCCCTGTTTTAAAATTAATTCAGTATGGACACAATATCACCGAAATCCACTCCGCATTCCCTTTACACTCTCTGTCTCTCTGTCATACATTCATAGTGAAATATTGAAATATAAGGGTGTGTATCAACTTGTATCCCCTCAATGCCGATTTCGCTTTTGGAACTACTTTCTTTTTCCATTTCGGATGTATATCTGCCCTTATGTGTTGTTATTCAGACCCATATTTCTATATTTTGACCTCTCTCTCTCTCTCTCTCTCTCTCTCTCTCTCTCTCTCTCTCTCTCTCTCTCTCTCTCTCTCTCTCTATCTCTCTCTCTCTCTCTCTCTCTCTCTCTCTCTCTCTCTCTCTCTCTCTCTCTCTCTCTCTCTCTCTCTCTCTCTCTCTCTCTCTCTCCATATGTTGATGTACAGATGTGTCAACTCTAGGCCCACTAGTGTATATTGATGAGGTGCCATCAAAAATGCCTAAAACGAACTACAAACAGAGAAAGGTAGACCCCAAGTGTAACTTTTAATAATTAGTTATATACATGAATGGCGGAAACTGTCAGTGACTGAACTTATTTGACCTGTTGCCCATACGGTATTATATACCTGTAATACTCTAACAAACATTACATATGTTTATAGGAAAAACGTAATTGAATATAGTTCTTAAATATAGTAAATTTTTTGTTAAGTAGCAATTTTAAGTCGCAGAACAATTACGTTTGAAAACGATGGATAAATCAGACAATGATCAGTGTTGATTCCAAGCCAAAAATAAGTGAAGTCAACAATTGGATACAGCGTCTGCTATCGAGGTAGACTACAAAAGCGTGCCGAGGCCACATAAAATATACGTTTGAATGTAGCAATGAAGAAATAAACTACCTATTTATAGTTAACTTACTGCACCTCAACATTATCATTCCGCTCAAGAAATGTGTTAACAAAACTAAAAATGTCTCCTTTTTCGTACGAATTCAAAATACACAATTTACACATGATATATACAAGATAAACGTTTGTTAAATGTCCCAAAGTTATTATAAAATTAAGGAACTTCTTTTTTTTTTGCTGTAATAATGCAGGTGTTAATCAGATTGGTGTGAAAATTGACGCCTTTTGCCTTTCAAAAATATATAATAAAAAACAAATCTGCTTTGTTAGAAGCAATACGGAAATATTTCACTCGTGAAGTGGAAACAGTTTGAACTTTTACGAATGGGGAATATAATGCTTCTATTAACTCGAGAAATATGTGCTTATATGTACCTAAGAAACGAACAACAGCAGCAGATGAGGAATTTTTTATTTAATACGTTCAGACTTGTGATTGTTAATAAAATCTCAAGTCGTTTGAAAACAGTCAGTAATTAATTTCCTCACTTTTCTTTTTCAAAACCAACATAATTAAAGAGAGTTAAAGAGATAATTAAAGATAGTTGTATATGTCTACTTCTTAAATGAAATATAAAATATACAAAATACATACTTCCAAGTTAGTTTTTCATATTACATTCTTGGATCCTCTACGAAAGGGTATAGTGTTTACATATCCCACCTTTTGTTTTGTGCCCTACTATCCAATTTAAAAATAAAACGCAACAATGATAATAAATGCACATGTAATTAATTACTTTATAAATTTTAACCCGAATGTCGAAATGAGTTAACTAACACTGTCATCGTGTTCAGTGGTACAAACAAACTAGAGTCTCTATGTGTGTGTGTTTGTGTGTGTGTGTGTGTGTTTGGATTTTAACATAGTTTTAACACATTTTGAGTCATATCACTACCATGTCTGCAGTGTGGCATTAGAGTGATGTCTAGCACTGGGGCATCATGCCGCAGACATGTAGCATCATGTCCCACCCAGTCACATTATCTTTACACCGACCAGGCCGACAAGTCCTAAAACTAACCTCTTAATGCTGAGTGCCTAGCGACGCAGCTGTTAGTATAATTTGTATAAGTCTTTACTATCACTCGGTCAGTTTTCAAACCCACGATCTCCCGCACCCGAGGCGGACGCTCTAACCACTAGGCCACCTGAGCGGTCCAAATTGGAGGGTAAGCGAATGCAATAGAATGATTAATAATACTAACGATGAGCGTATGGATATGAAAAAGAACGTTTCGAAGTCAGAAAACTATTGAATAAACCCATGCTAGAATCAAGCTTGATAGTATGGCTTCTCTATGCAGGGACGGTAATGTTCTGTCGGATGATATATATTTTAAATTTTAAGGTAGACAGTAAGCAACACACGTTTTGTTGTGAGAACAAGTGAATAAATGATTGAAATATGATTTTAACTTCATGATTTTGTTTTTATTCAGAACAGTCCATTTGTTTTTATATTGAAACCTATTTTAATGTCTTGAATTAAAAATGGTTTTAAAGTCATTTCAAGAAATAGAAAAATGTTCTCGTAAAAAAGGTGGCTTAATAACAGAGGTGTCTTTTTTTTAAAAAAAATATTTGTGAGATAATCTTGAAAAATAGTTACTATAAGGAGGAGATTGGTTCATTGGATAACGTAAGTGGCGAATATGACTGTTTTCATGCTAGGGACGTTTCTCTCTCATTGAATAATAACAACACCATAGATCTTCAAAGATAAAGTACACGGTCTTCAAGGAATCCTCTGTATAGGTCTAACTTAGATGTCTATCGCCAGTTAGTTCGTATAAATAACCCTATGCAGATTTAAAACCTTAATCAGTCTTACTGCGCCACGAGCTTTACGTGGATATGAATGAACAATTTATCCTTATTTATAACTGTAACTAAACTTAAAGCTATTAAACGCTCTTCCATACTACAACTACTACTACTACTACTACTACTACTACTACTACTACTACTACTACTACTACTACTACTACCACTACTACTACTACTACTACTACTACTACTACTAACAACAACAACAACAACAACAACAACAACAATAATAATAATAATAATAATAATAATAATAATAATAATAATAATAATAATAATAATGATGATGATAAAAATAATAATAATAATAATAATAATAATAATAATAATAATAATAATAATAATAATAATAATAATAATAATAATACCGTAAACTATCGTTATTAGGTGACTTTCTTTCGACATGCGCCGTCTAGCTTCTCTTTGCCTCCTTAGTAGTGTAAAATATTTGTTATAAACGCTTTGAAATATTCAGTAAAAATAGTTTCGCAATGTATTATTGTGCAAACGTTTAACACCTTTTTGCAAAATATAAAGGGTCGTCTCATGAATCAAAAATCAAAACTGCAACTAGGGTTAAGATGTACATTGTACCAATAAAAGGGAGAAACTGGCAGATTTTGCAATTATGATGAAGACCAGTATTATTTTGTTTTAGAGTATAACTGATATTTTAATGAAAGAAGAGTCTTTATTGATATTGATAAATACTAAATATATCAGTATAATTTCGTTTGCAAAGCTGAATAATGATGCAAAAGTTAACACTGTTAAGGAATGTGCGCGTGTATCTAAATGTGATGAAGTCTGATGAAACATTAAAACGAAACATACATACATACATACATACATACATACATACATACATACATACATACATACATACATACATACATACATACATACATACATACATACATACATACATACATACATACATACATACATACATACATACACACACACACACACACACACACACACACACACACACACACACACATACATACATACATACATACATACATACATACATACATACATACATACACACACACACACACACACACACATACATACATACATACATACATACATACATACATACATACATACATACATACATACATACATACATACATACATACATACATACATACATACATACATACATACATACATACATATATACATCCATGATCGCTCCGGTCGCCTAGTGGTTAGTGCATTCGCTTCGTATGGGGAAGGTCGTGGATTCGAGTCACACCAAAGACTTACAAAAATGGTACTAACGGCTGCCTCGATTAGCGCTTAAGAGGTTAGTGTTAGGACTGCTCGGCCTGTTGTCAGGATAATGTGACTGAGTGGGACATCATGCTACATGTCTGCGACATGATGCCCCAGTGCTAGACATCACTGTAAACTGCCACACTGCAGACATCGTAGAGATATGACTGAAAAATTGTTAAAGCTATGTTAAAAATCATAATCACATCACACACACACACACACACACACACACACACATATATATATATATATATATATATATATATATATATATATATATATATATATATATATATATATATACATATACATACATACATACATACATACATACATACATACATACATACATACATACATACATACATACATACATACATACATACATACATACATACATACATACATACATACATACGGGATTTAATCAATATTAGTGAATGCGTTAAAAATCATAATCACATCACACACACATACACACGCACACACACACACACCACACACATTTTACGGGATTTAATCAATATTAGTCAATATATGTGTAATCTTTAGTAACTTGACACCTTCTCGTGACCAAAGTAGTTGCCAGGATGTTTATGAATATTTCATATTGTAGCAATCGTCATTTTGTAAGAAAAAATGATACAGTAATATAAACTGCCTGTTATATTTTTTAATAGCTATTCATATGTCATGTTTTGCACCATTTGTCGTGTTTAAAACTATTGTGTATATGATCTGCGTTAATTCCCCTTTGTTATAAGTATTGAAGTTGCCGTATAAGTACACCGCAACAACACTCATTTATTGCGTCGAGACACGGTACATATCTATTTGCCATGGAGACAGTCTTGAAAGGTACAAAGAACTACGATAAAGAAGAGATATCTGAATCCGTTGTGTACAAGGCGGCAGAAGGTCGATTTAAATTTTTCTCGTACAAATTGCCAAGTCGTCTTGATTTATGCGTCAGTATTGCTAGAAGTTTTAGTCCAGGGTAAGGAGAATAGCCTTGGGCAGAGGTAATATGATATTAATAGAGTAATGACAACACGTTTAAACCTTACAGGTATAGTAAGTAAGCAACCTTTCCATAAATATTGATTAAGGGCGGTCTCTGAGAACAGTTGTCTGCTCAAAACTGATCTTGACTACAATTTATAACTTTCTCACACAAAACAGAGCAAAACATATGGTTTATTTGACTAAATTTGCTGCCAGTATTACAGGCCAATAATGACTACATCCCTTAGCTGGTTAATAATGTCACAATTCCTACCGTGGCTATTTAAAGTTAGAAAATTCTCCCTCTCTATTGTAGCGAGATTCTTATCAAGGCGATTTAAATTTATCTATTGTCTCGTTAACGATGGGATGGTCGAAGGAGTTGGCAGCGAATTTGTACCATATGAGTGATTTTGCGTCGAAACCGCCGACAATTTCGTCATATGGAGTTTTGCATTCTAGGCAAGAATTTCAGTACACAGATTCCTTGGGATTGATTTGCTTTGACTGGCACAATGATATGTAAACCTGAGGCAATATGAATAGAGTTGCTTGCACCTCAACATTTTAAAGGCGGCCTACGCGACATGGTCTAGGTAGGATTCGAACTACGTATCCTTCTGGCTTTGAGTCTCTCACGCTCTCCACTAGCTTCGTTAGCCACTACTATGATTGAGCATAATAATTCTCAAGCTAGTTTAGTACATTTCATATAAAATGAAGAGTCATTATTACGAGCTAATTATAAAAATATTATAATGCTGTTTCTACCTAATTCAGTATAACCTTTACGTTACTGATAGTTTCTTCTCATAAAAATGTCTGTTTTAGAATCCAGTATATACAAAGCTAAACTTTAACGTCTTTCCTGGTGGTTCCGGTAAGTAGCTTTAAAAAGTCAAAACTCCGCCATTTCTGGGAGCAGATGTTATATTGGTTCATTAAGAGCGTGACTTTCAGCGAGTTCCTTTTTACTGGAATCTGACTCTTTGTACCAAATGGCCAGCTATTATATATAGGACTTAAAGAGTATAGAACTGTACTCATATGGCTTAACCGATCGTAACTCACGTGTAAGATATGTTACTTAACGCTTTCGCGCCAATCCGATCAGTTTACAAACTCAGCATTAAAGAAGTGGAAAAGCGAAGAACTTTAGAAAAATGTTCGATCATGGGTGGATGGCTAAAAAATGTAAAGGATCCCGCTCAAGAATCGAAACTGTATATACACAGATGAAATACAAATGAGTTAAAACTGCCCAAACGAGGATCCATAAAACCAGTTCATGGCCTCTGTAGACAGATGAAAAAGTTCTAAATAGAGTGAAACCTGCCCTAAGATATACAGCCATGCTAACCAGGTTTGCTAAAAACGACAATTAAAAACCCTATTCCTAATTTTTATTTACATATTTAACTTGTATATGATGAACATCAGTGCTGTTTTCCTGAAAGATTTTTTTTTATTTTGAAAAAAAAATACTGATTAATATACGTCAATGTGCAACTAGCCGCATCAGTATCTTCTTCTTTTGCACAGGTCCTCTGATTCTATTAAACCCATATAGTAGATGAACAAACAATTGCCTTACCAGAATATATGTGTTTCCGAAGAGTCTGAAAGTTAAACAAGGGTGAACAAATGAATCAATCCGTAATAAAGACGGTGTTGGGTCCTTCAGGATAGATATCTAGAGATACTTCCGAGGAGTGGCGAAGGCAGTGTTGCAATTTACGAAAAGTATGTCTCTTTCGTGTTATGAGAGGAGTTTCTGCTTCAAACTGCAAAACTAAGAATCATAAAGGTAGATGATACAGCACCCACCCCACAGTGTTTTGAAAACTTTATTTCAGAAATTTAACATTACTGACAACCGTTCGCAATGTAGTGGTATAGCTCGGGAGAGAAGAGAGGAAAGAGATGATTAATTACTGTCAACCACCAATGGTCCACGGTCAGGTCCACATGCAACGAAACTATAAGATCACCATCTTGAATTTGATATGATGTGTGCCTGACTATTACGCGGA